TTAACAAGAATAAAATTTTGTGAAAGGTCTATGACAATTCACGATCACAGGAGAGTTAAAAAAATCATAACCTGGGCAAATTTAGATAACAACAGACTTAAACGCCTATATTATGGGATTTAAAAAAATCTAAGTGATTTCGTCAACACCTTTTCAGACATATTACACACTGATTTTTTAATAATGTTTCTAACACAAATTTGTTCACAATTAAAACTTTGATTTAAAGTAAATTTTTTAAAGATTATTTACCCTCAACATTGGTCGTAAAAAAAGTGCTTTAGGGACTAAATTTAAAAAAAAATAGTGACTGTAGTGACTTTTTTAAGGAAAAAAGTGACTTTTTAGTGACTGACTTGAAAATAGTGACCTGCTACCAGCCCTGCTATCTTTATTAACTTCCCGTGATTCCGGGATTTTCCGGGAAATAAAATAAATATTTCTCGAATCCCGGGATGATTAAAAGCACCGGGAAATTGAAGCTTAAGATTAGTTTAAAATCGGAAGCCGTTCGAACCGAAAAACAATCGATCTCTGTTATCGTTAGTAACAACTCAGTTTATTTTCGATATAGCAAAAACAGTAATCCGCATATTTTTTTTCATTGGCAGTAAATGCGATTCCTTGCACTCCCCGCATAGCTGGCTGCAAAAAATTGGCACCAAATGTAATCACACACGATGACCGAGCACAGTTCGACAACTTCAAACGCACCCCCTCTATATAGAAATAGTTATAGAAACAACCATGACCCATATCGACGGAGCTACATCACCAAGGGAGTTGTAGCACTGAGGCTGCCATCAACAATCATCCTCCTATCTTCTGCAATTCTCACCTGCCACCGGTATCTGCCCTTTCAACACGTGACCACAACCACCCACCCAGTACCATCTCCCACACAACCCAGTCACTCTACCAGTGCTGATTTTGCTGCCTCTGCTGCTGCTGTGTGCATCATCGCCAACCACACGAATAATGCAAGAAATAGGTCACGAACATCAGGACACTGGAACGAATCGGGTGCATAGAGAATGAAGGATGCGACCCACCCACCCATGGTGGCCCATTATGGAGAGGCAGAAAAGAGCTTTTATCCTACCACCTACACATACACAAGCGACGACGTTCGACGAAGGCTGGCACTCTCATTGCAACCATCGACCTGCCTGCCGGGTTGATCTTGTTGGAACCAAATGGGACAGACTGGAATATGATGCTGCTCAGTTGAGTTCGGTGGCTTATGAGGGAAACATTTTCCCCCTTTCCCGCACACCGTGCTTCCAGCACTTTAACAAATGGGAAACGATTTTTCATTTATTTCAATTACGGTAAACATTTGCAGAAAATGATGGAGGAAACATGTGTCTCCTCTCTACATCGCTCATTGCATTGTTGGGTGCTTGCAGCACGGATTCAGGATTATGAGTGCGGTGGAGGCATCCCAAGCGTGTGGGATGCGATTATTCTAAAAATATACTCCCACTTCCGGCGCAGAAAGCGACGGAATACGATGAGGTAGCGAGGGTATCAAGGTTTGCCCCACCATGGCTTCCCATATGGCAAGTTCATGAGAAATGGGTCACGGTGTCGTATCGGCAAAATCGGTAAAGCAATGACTTTCAAACATTCTAATTACTCAAGTAAATCTGGACGTAGGTCATTAGGTCAAAGGTCGATAGGAAAAAAATTATTAGGTCGAACGGTCACTAGGTCAAATTTTGCAAAACACTTAGCAAAGAAAATTTGCTGGTTCGAAAAATAAAACAAGCAGCAAATAATAGGAGGATAAATAGGATTAGTCAATATGAGCTTTGAAAAGAAGCTACACTAAAGAGATTGCATATTTTGATGAAGGAGCCAAAAATCACGAAAACAGTCAAACGAACTTGTTTGAAAGAAGGAAAACTCCCTAAAAATTACTTCTTACCAAATTCTCAAACCTGAATCTTCGAAAGAACAGTAGATTGGTAAAATGGCTCTTGGGTGCTGTCATGGTAAATTTAGACCTGGTTATTCTCTGATTTTTTATGTGCGCGCCATGCCCACTTCAAATCCATGCGCCCATTCAAAAGCGCCCATAAATGTAATACAGGGATGTATAACTGCATCTACGCACAATTCTAATTGACACTCGAGTACGGGTTAAACTTTTCTACAATCAGTATGCCATAAAACTTAAAACGAGAGTTGAACCAGTCGACTTTTCAGAATAGTTCTAAGGAAATTCTAAGGAGAGTTTCAAAAGCATTACAATGAAATTTCAATAGATTCTCTCAAAGGTACTTTGAGAATTCTGATGTGAGTTCCAAGGTAATTTTGAGACAATACTTTGGAAAATCTAGGGTGAACTCTATGGGCAAGAGAATCATGAAGAAAATTCCTATAAAATTCTGATAAGACTTTCTTGAAAATTCTGAGGTTAACTAAACTACGTTCCGGCAAAATTGAAAACTCATTTTTTTTTTAATTTTGAACGAAACATAAAACCATAGACTCTACCTGTGGGCACAATTTTATAAAATCTTCAGACCCTTCGTTCCAATTTGTGCTTACTGTGTTTGCTTAAAGGGTTGTCTACGAGGGGAACCGAAAACTTTGATCGATTCGCTCCAGATCACATGCTCAAACTACAGCTGTTGATCAAGCGGTATAACAACAGCAAGCTGTTGAAGAAACAGCCTCGCTAAGGAATCCGCCACCGTCAGAGTACCAGAACCCCTGCGTCAGAAAACCGCAATATTAAAAATTGCTAAGTGCTCGAATAATAAGACCTCAATTATACAACTTATGATCATAAATCAGTACGTATCCCGAGCAACAATTTTGGTTTTATGAGGTACCGTGACCAAAGATACAAAAACACAAATCGGAAAAATATAATCTGAGATTCATAATTTTGAAAAAAGTTTGTGTATGTGCTTAGGAACAAGATTGATAGAATCAAAACTGGCCGTTGTCATTGCAAAATTTGCCTTGTACAATCATTCATTCCATCAATATTGTCCTTAAGTTTTAAATGTCATTCACAACTTTGCCTTAATTTGTATTCTCCTCCCTCTCTGTGACACGTATTCTCTTATAGTTAATAAACAGTTACAAATTCTGAAACTTTCTCACCACCCACTTCAAAGAGTGGACATCATTTTTAACTGCCCCTAACCTCAAAAGCTCCCCTAGTAGTACCATCGACAGACATACCGAGTAGTACCGCTGTACTGTTTTAATCTAGTACCGTTGTCGACGTACTAGATTAAAACAGTACAACGGTACTATTTGGTATGTCTATCATAAGTATAATATCACTGTCGAGTTCCATAATGTCCTCTGTTATATGCACAAACAATATCTAAATGAGGTATGGGCATTAGGGAGACTCAACTTAACAACCCTCTACTCCCCACAGCTCTTTCGAATCGTTTTAAGGTCTCGAACAACTGTGCCAAATTTTAACGAATTGGTTACGATCATGATTTGCGAGAGAGCCTTGTGGGAAACGGTCCTAAAACTGTTCAATTGATTGTCAAAAATTCAAAAATAGCTCATTTTTTACCAAACCTGGGACTATACTGAACAACTTCTTTGCCGACCGCAAATCGATTCGGGTTTTGTGGAAAAAGTTTTTATTTTTTACTTATGGTCATATGATCCCCGCATACACTGGGGTGCATATAAGCTTGTAGATATGCGCGGAGTACCAGGAAGACAGTAAAAAAGTAAGAGGTTGTATAACTCTTTTATCAGTAATTTGTGGTCCTAAAAGGACCGATGGGTTGGAAGCTTGGAAGCCAGTTTAGAATAATGCTGTAGAACTTTTTCCTCGATGTTCTTGAAGATTATAGCGGTGCGGAAATGAAATATGTATTAGGGAAAACACATCAATCACAGAAACTGAGCATACCGGACGATATCTACGTTTATGCTTTTTGATGCAGATATTAAGCCCCTTCTATTAAGAGAATTCGGCAAGATTTTTTTTTTTTTGGGCATACTTTTCTTAATAGGAGGGTCTTAAAATTTGCATCAAGAGGCATAAAGATAGGTACCGTCTAACATGCTCAGTGTTCGGTATCAATATTCGGCGACTGTGTTAGGGAAATCACTTTTCCCATCACCGAAACGCCTCGTTTTCTGATGACAAAATTACGCATTTTCGTGCACAAACGCACGGATTTTTTGTCTTATTAATAGATAATAAAAATAATCGAAAATTGATTGAAGGAATTTCTTTGCTATTGTTTTCCAATCGCGAGATATTCGCGATCAACCATATAAATTCGAGTTTTTTTTTTTTGCTTTTTCTAGCGTCCTAGAGAAAGCCTTACCTTAATTTGAAATGTTTCTGCAATTCAATTCGTGCAGTTTTCAAGTGACCTTTTGAACATGTATAAAGTGTTTATTTTAGAAGATTCGTAGATGACATTACAATCGATTGCCTTGTTTAGAATTAATATCCATCCGCTATTGACAGAGTTATAAGTGGTTAAATCCTGACCACTTTTCGTAACGAGGTCGATTTTGATTTTTTGAAATTGCACCACCAATATGTTGCCGAAAGACGTAATCCTACGTCAAAAAATAATAACTTTTTGCACAGAAGTCGAATCGATTACCGGTCTTGGACAATGTGTCCTATTTAGTTTTTACAAGCTAAGTCCCAAACAAATTTTAAATATCTCCCGCAAATCCAGATCCGAATACATTCAAACTTGGCACAGTTGCTGGGGATCCCAATACGAATCGAAAGAGCTGTGGTAGCCGAGGGGTTGCACATGCCACACTGGTGCTATCGTGTGATTAAAAATCTACCTAGACCTAGACCAAGACGGTAAAAAAAATGTCAAGCACTTGCACATAAATTATTATCATCCCCAGGGTACCGTTGCTTCTAGCATAAAGTCCCACATCAGATAACGACCCACTGGAGAGTCTTCACATACACGACAAATGCACACTATCCTATTTTCTAAAATACAATTAAAATCCATCGGCACACCTACCTGATTCGCTTTATTGATCTGCTTCTTCAGACCAGCGAAAGCCATCATGTTACTAATCTTGAGGCTGTTTTATTTGACGGGTCTTCACGAAAAAATGTGGTCTCGCTCAAACTCTGAGCGATTGCTAGTTTCGTACTAGCGTGGTCACCGACTATGTAGCACCAAAAACTTGCACCTTGTACTGTTGTCACTCACTCGTTTGCAATTCTTTCTTCGATTGCAAATCAATCACCAACAGGCTTCAAACACTTCACTACTTCTTCTTTTCGGCGACGATGAGATGCACTTTTACTAACTTCCGGAACCTGCCAATCTCGCACTGCACACAATCAATCAGCCGTTTGTACTCTCTTCTTGAGCTTTTTTATTTTATTTTAATCAAACACTGCTGCTGTTGCTACTGCTACTGCTCTACTGCCATTTCCAATCGAAGATCGTCGTATTTACGGAACGAGTTCAATTGCAATCATTGGGGTATCATTTCCACGTGATACGGCGGCATCCAGCGTCAGGATCAGGCATCAGGCGATACATGGAAAGAAAACGAGAGGGAGAGAAAGAAATTAGATCTAGAGAAAATGTAAATGGGGAACACTTGAATCGGTTATTGGGTTCGAGATTGCTCGCTGTCTGTAGATGGTATTGCCGCCTTTTCGAGAAAGGTTAGCTGAGATTTTAAAAATTCAGGAATCAAGTGGAAGCAATCACTCGCTTCGAAGAGATCAGCTCACCAGCACAGTATTATGAGAGAAGCTCGTGGTCAATTTTTCCCAATCAAAGCGTAACTAGGGTGATGGGTGTGTCAATTTATTTTCTCTGCTGACATCAGAGTAAAGAACTTTGAAGCTTTGGAGAACAAGCCGCCCATTTGGACTTTTGTGCAAAGAATATGACGGGTTTCACGCCAACTCGACCAGTGGTTAATGTCAAAGTTAGAGCAACCACCAGCCACGATTAAAAAAAAAACATATCTATTCACCATTTTTCAAAAAATTGTCCTCGATCAATTTTGAGGTACACTGTATGAAACTTTTGTGGGTTTTAATATAAGCTACAACTTTTGTAAATAACTCAAATCTTTATCTCTTATTCATTATGAACCAGAGCGAACAGAACCCACCATTGTTTTTCAGTGAATATAAATTACATTCACTGAAAAACAATAACAAGTTCTGCCCACTCTAGTTCGTCATGCATAAGAGATACAAATAGGAGATATTCTCAAAAGTTGTAGTACCAAAAGCTACAAAAGCTTTATACATAGTTTAACGGAATTCTGTTGATGGAAAAAGTTAGAGTCAAATGAATGTAAATGAATGCACGAAGAGAATGAAAATGATTTTCCATGCCTAAGCAAGACAACTTAATTATCTACAAGTTGTCCACACATTGTAAAATGGACACATTTGTAGGAGAAAATTATTCTTACAACTACTTTTTCTTTTCGGATGGGAAGTAAAGCCGTTGGTCCCCGGTTCATGAATTGATGGGTCGATAGGTAGGGTCCAGGTGTGGGAGCTGCCTTCCTGGCACGTCGGTAGCATTGGTGCTCAGCACGGAAAACAAGATCGACGGAAAAAACAAACCAAAGGAAAAAAAAAAAAAACTACTTTTTCTTGCCTGAATTGCTAAAAATCAATCCCTTGATTTGTTTTCCGTCGATCTTGTTTTCCGTACTGAGAACCAATGCTACCGACGCACAGTGGCCCTTCGCTCATTTTCAACTTCTATTCAATTTTCATACTGCCGAGCTCTAGCGGAACTACCCTCTTCAGACCTTTCTCTAGCTAATAAATTATCACACTAAAGCTTCATGTTAGATATCATTTCCAACCAACTCTGAAAATCCTAAACTTCACGTATAAAGTAACATAAAAACATTTTGAATGAAAATAAAACATTGCTTTGAAAGTCTTTAACTTTATTTCAAATGAGATCCAGCGAAAATTCTTGGAGACCACGAAGCAAGAAGAAAAATTAGCACTCCGTAGTCAGTCCGCATCGTGCTCTCTTGCCGTGCGGATCTATTTGCTTTTTGCTGAAGGAAGTGTTACTACTACCTAAAGCTACAACAAATTTAAACAGCACTTTTCAGTGCTCAACCTGTAAAAATTTTCTACCTTGTTCAACTCTTATTCCTCTTCGATCCTTGTTTGGACCCTACCCGAGGTAATCCTTCTTGGATATCGATTTGGAAAATTCCTCTTCGATCCTTCAGATTCTTATAGTAATCTGCTTGGAAGTCGATTTGGATAAAAATTTACTGCCGCCATGGCGCCTAAACGCAAAAGAAAGGGGCAAACTCTTGACCCCCCTTCTGATGAAATTAATTTGAGTAATCAATTTGATTTGCTCACGGATGATGAGAATGATCCATCATCCAAGAAAAATTCTAGTAAACTTTCCCGGCTTAATGCCAAGAAGGAAAAGATTCCCCCTATTGTGATAACCACTACCGATTTCCATGCTCTTCGCATGGAACTTTTGAATTTCGTGAAAGTTAAGTTTTCACTACAAATTGGACGTCGGGGTGAATGCCGTGTATTGGCTGAAACCTTGGACGGATTTAAATGTCTTCTCAAGTATCTTACTGAGAAGAAGCACAAATTTTTTACTTACGACACCAAAACTGAACGTGTGTTCAAGGTTGTCATGAAAGGACTGCCCAGTGGTGAATCCCTGGATCAGATCAAAGATGAACTGGCAAAATTACTTGGAGTTGTGCCACTCCAAGTAATCAAAATGAAAATGAAATCCCGTCCTGGCGATTCGCGCAACGGGATTTCTAATGATTTTTATTTAGTTCACTTCAAATCTAGTGAACTAAACAACCTTAAGGCCTTAGAAAAAGCTAGCCTTACATATGCTCCATGTCCAAGTGAAGTGGGAACACTTCAGGAAGACTGGAGGAAATTTCCAAAACCTCACCCAGTGCCGTAAGTGCCAGGGATGGGGTCACGGAACTAAAAATTGCTACATGCCAGCTAAATGCATGAATTGTGGTGATTCCTCTCACGCAAAGGACGACTGTCCTGTGAAGGAAGATCCTAAGAAATTTAAATGTTCAAATTGTGGTGAAAACCACAAATCCAACTTTTGGGAATGTAAGACTCGCAAAGCGATCCTACAATCTCGTTCTAACCGTCAGGTAGGAAACGCTCCACGTTTCCGACCAGGTACAAATTCCTCTGCTGTTAACAACGGTCAGCGAGGAACAAATTCTACATTCGTACCCGTAGGTACAAATATCTCCCCTGCTTCAAATGTTTCATCTGTACCTACTCCCCTCGCTGCTAACAATGTTCAGCGAGTTAATGGAGCTACCTATGCTGCTATTGCAGCGGGTAGAAATCAAAATACTAACCACCGTTCTAACGGAAATTTTGACAATTTTGACTTAGGAAGCATTACTGCCCCCAAAATGGAATTTTTACAGAATTCATTAATTGACATGATTTCTGATATGCTTAAATCTAACTCCATGTTTGATGCTATTCAAACTGGAGTAAAATTTGCAAATAATATTGTCATGACTTTAAAGTTCAGTAATGGATTTTAAAGCATTAAATATTGTAAATTGGAATGCTCGATCTCTTAAAGATAATGAAGACGAGCTATTTAACTTTTTGAGAGTTCATAACGTGCATATTGCCGTTATAACTGAAACGTTCCTTAAACCTGCCCATAAGGTTAAGAAGGACGCAAATTACTTGATTTATAGAAATGATCGTCTTGATGGACCCTGTGGTGGCGTTGCCATCATTGTTCATAGACGAATCAAACATAAAATTCTTTCTTCATTTGATACCAAAGTTTTTGAAACTTTGGGAGTTTCTGTTGAAACAAAATTTGGACAACTTACGTTTATAGCTGCCTATTTGCCATTCCAATGCGTAGGCCAGCAAAAGAATTTTCTCAAGGGTGACCTCCAGAAACTTACCCGTCATAGGTCTAAATTCTTCATTATTGGTGATTTTAATGCAAAACACCGCTCATGGAATAATGCTCAAAGCAATTCCAATGGTAATATTCTGTTTGATGATTGTTCTGCAGGTTATTACACTATTCAATATCCAAACAGCCCAACATGCTTTTCTTCTGCAAGAAATCCCTCCACTATTGATTTGGTCTTAACTGATTCATGTCAACTTTGTAGCCAATTGGTTACCCATGCTGACTTCGGTTCTGATCACCTTCCAGTAACTTTTGAAATATCCCAAGAAATAATTTGTAATCCCAACAGCTCTACTTTCAATTACCATAGAGCTGATTGGGAGCAGTATCGAACATTTATGGAATATAACTTCGATCCAAACATTCCTTTGCAAACCAAAGATGAAATTAATTATGCTCTTGAATCTCTGACTACTTCTATAGTTGAAGCAAGAGCTGCCTCAGTACCAAAATGCGAGGTTAAATTCGATTCAATTATAATAGACGATGATCTTCAGCTCTTGATCCGTCTTAAAAATGTCCGTAGGAGACAATATCAAAGAACACGCGATCCTGCCATGAAAGTTATCTGGCGGGATTTGCAAAAACAAATTAAAAAGCGATTCTCTGCCCTGAGGAACAAAACTTTTGAAAATAATATTTCTAAATTAGACCCGAGTTCCAAACCCTTTTGGAAACTCACAAAAATTTTGAAAAAACCTCAAAAGCCTATTCCAGCGCTTAAAGAAGGTGGTAAAATTTTGATCACAAATTTGGAAAAAGCTCAGAAACTTGCTAAGCAATTCGAGAGTTCCCATAATTTCAGTTTGGGTCTTACTAGTCCTATTGAGAATCAGGTTGCTCGGGATTTTCTGAATATTTTCTCTCGGGAAAATATTTTTGATGATTCCTGGGGGACTGATTTGGACGAAGTAAGGTCTATAACTAAAAATTTTCAAAATATGAAAGCTCCAGGTGATGATGGAATTTTCTATATCCTCATCAAAAAACTCCCAGAGAGTACCTTGTCTTTCTTGGTAAAATTATTTAACAGATGTTTCCATTAGGCATACTTTCCTGATAAATGGAAAAATGCAAAAGTTGTTCCAATTTTGAAGCCGGATAAAAATCCAGCTGAAGCTTCTAGCTACCGTCCAATAAGTTTGCTTTCTTCAATAAGTAAACTTTTTGAAAAGATAATTTTGAATAGAATGATGCTTCACATCAATACGAACTCAATTTTTGCAGATGAGCAGTTTGGATTTCGCCATGGGCATTCAACTACTCATCAACTCTTAAGAGTTAACAATTTAATTCGTTCAAACAAATCTGAAGGCCACTCAACTGGAGTTGCTCTTCTAGACATAGAAAAAGCATTCGACAGTGTTTGGCATGAAGGTTTGATTGCTAAATTGAAAAAGTTTAATTTTCCACTTTATATTATGAAATTAGTTCAAAATTATTTAACTGACAGAACTCTT